TGCCATCGAGTTGCTTGCGACTCATAGCGACCCTATGTACAACAGCCCTAAACCCTGCTCTATCCTGTGCCAATCCATTGCCTCTGACACACCCATCCCGATTACCCCAGTCACTGAATCAATCCACCTTCTAGAGGGTCGTCCCCTTCTGTGCGTCCCTCCACCCTCCCAAGCATGATGTCCCTCTCTAAAGACCTGTCTCTCCTTACAACATGTCCAAAGTATGTCCGACGAAGCCCCAGAATCCTTGCCTCCAAGGAGCAGCCTGGTTTAACCCTCTCTAGGGTGAATCTGTTTTCTTGGCAGTCCAGGGTACATTCAATACTCTTCTCCAGCACCACAGCTCAAAGGCGTCAATTCTCCTTCTATCCTCCCTAGTCATTGTCCAACTCTCTGATGCATAACAAGTGATTGCAAAAACCATGGCCTGTATCAGGCGCACCTTAGTCTCCAGAGAGACACTGTTGCTCTTGTATCAAATATATACAGGACCTGTACTGAAATCTATTGTATAAAGCAAATAATATAGTTTATTCCTAAAATATCTGTAAAACCTCCCCCACCAAACAATCCAATAAAAAGGGGGAGATGTGGGGTTAAGCTGAAAAGAATGTTAACTAAAGAATGTAATCAGGGCAAAAAGAAATCTCTACCCTGGGGCAAGCAAAAACCTTAATTCTCCCACTGATGCTGCCTTCTGATATCGATGTGGTTATGGAAATAGGGAAGGTCAGCAAACAATAAATAGTAAATACATCTTGAAGTCCAGTTAACATATTTTACTGCTTATATAATGAGAAATTTATCAGAAAAAGGTATGAGGATGTAGAGGTCAGGAGGGCACACATCCATGAATTCCTTTCCCCTTTCCTCCTGACTAAGGAAAATCTTTAGTTCATTCCATCACTTGGTACTTGCATGGTGGTTAGAGAAATGTGACATTATTGATTGTCACTGAGCTGGAACTGATGACAACTGTTAAGTGTTTTATGTATTATTTTTCTTTCCTGCACCATTTATTAACATTTGGATGAGAACATGTTCTGGATCTGCTTTGTTAATATGACAAAGAACATTTCCCATTTCCTCTGCCTCCCTCAATGCTTAACTAATATCTTTTCAGACTTGCCAAAAATTCCTTAGTGCTAGATGCCATCAAGCACAACCCTATGTACAAATCAAAACCTTACCTGATCTTGAGCCATCCTCAAATGCCACTGGTGCATTCACTGTTCAATCTACCTGTTGACCTATGACCCTAACTCTACTTTTCCAAAGGCGTCTTCTAAGCACTGGTCCCTCCTGGAAACACCCAAAGTGTATGAGATGATATTTCATCACCTGAGGAGAACTTTCAACATGAATTGGTTTGTTCTTTTGGTAGCCCATGGTTTCAAGACTCTTGTCCTAAACCACAATTCAAAAGGGTCTATTTTTCTTCACTTTTCTTTATTTATTGTTCAATTTTTACATGTATATTAAAGAGAACAGTTAAAAAAAATACCAAAACTCATTGAGGTGAGATGGATTTATAGCTGGCCTTCCAGCTGGGTTCGAGAGACTATATATAGACTGGTATGGTTGTATAGTATTTTTTGAGCATGTACCATTCCAACTCATAGTTGAGTTTTCAGAGGCAGTAAATTTCACAGGAGATTCAAACCATGTGCCTTTGGGTTGGCAGTATAAATTCTTACCACTAAACCACCAGACCCTCTGGTTTTGAAAGACTATAAATTGAATGAGAGGAGACTGCCCACCCTTCTCCTGTAGACCTACTGGTGGATTTGAATTGCCTGCCTTTAGGTTGCCAGTTCAACTTTTTTTTTTAACATGAAATTTTTTTATTGTGATTTTAACAAAAGTTTACTGAAAAGTTAGATTTTCATTCATTCCTTGTTGCACAGGCAGTTCAACTCTTTATACACTAGGAAGCAACAGAAAATTCCATGGCTTGGGTCAAAGACACCCTCCTTAGTCTTTAAACAGACACCTTTGATCGTTAGCACTTTAGAGCTATTTGAAAGTACATTTGCCCAAGGTGCCTTTTGATTTGATGGTTGCTTTTCATGGGTGTTGATTATGGATCTAAGTTAAATCAAATCCTTGACAGCTTCATTCTTTTTTGCCACTTTTCATGATCCCTATCTATTGGTCCAGTTGTGAGAATTTTTTCCTTAATACAATCTTTAATCTTCAGTAAATGCTTCAAGACTTCTTTCACTTTTCACAAAATTATGTTGGAACTGATTCCAATAGGTGTTTTATGTATTAATTTTCTTTAGTTATCTGTATAATGCAGGCCATTAACTTGTCTTCTTTCAAACCTGACGCCACATTCTCAGACTCAAGCTTTCTGGCTTATCTGCTCAGCATACAAATGGAATGTTTGTGCTGCTATGTACTGATGTTTGTGCTGCTATGTACTGATGCATCAGAACTGACTCATCCTCCAGTGGGTTTTTAAGAGGCAGTAAATCACATAGGACATTGCCCATCTTTCTTCCATGCAGCAGATCTTGGATTTGAACTGCATTTCTTTGGGTTGGTAGGGCAATTCCTTACCACTAAGCCACCAGAACACCTTGAAAAAACTGAATAGGTATGGTAAAGAGATAACAATTCTGACTCACAGCTTTCCTGATTTTAAATCTTACAGTATATCCTTTGTTCAAATGAGTGCTTCTTGATTTATGTATAGGTTCTGTATTAGCACAATTAAGTGTTGTGGAATTTTCATTCTCCTCAGTGTGATTCATAATTTATTACCATCCACAATGTCGACTGCCTTTGCAGAGTCAATAAAACACTTTAAAACATCTTTCTGTTAATCTCTTCCATTAATGATCCAGCTGACAAATGGTATAATTGTTCCTTAGTCCACATTACCAGTGAAATGGTTGAAAACATTTTTGTTAAGAATTTTGCTTTACTAACTCACTGTATTTTAATGGGATCAATTTATCTAATAAATTGAGGTGCCTTCTTAGTGCAGTAGGCAGCATGCCAGTTTCATAGCAAATGAATGGTATCAACACTTTGGCTTTTAACCAGGGTGTATGTTTTTTCATACATTGACAAGTCATCTAGTGTAGTTAATTAAGCTGCAGACGCAGTCTAGTCTGAGTCGGATTCTGGCTCTGCTACTTACTGTGTGGCCTTGAGCAAGTCGCTAAGCTTCTCTAAGTGCCAGTTTACCCATCTACAGAATAGTGATGAGAAAACCTTCCCTAGGAATATTGTGAGAATTAAAGGAATTGATGCATTTAAGTTTTACTGGCTATTCATGTTTCATTTAAAACATTTCTTTCTGTACAATTACTAGCCCACTTTCATTAACTGTTGCTAAGTTCTGTTGAGTTGGAACTGACTCATAGCTGATCCTCCAATAGATTTTCAGAGGCAGTAAATCCTAAGGGTTGAGACTGTCCCTCTTTCTCCTGAGGAGCAACTGGTGGATCTGAACTGTGCCTTTGGGTTGGCAGTGCACCTCCTCACCCCTAAGCTACCAAAGCTCCTTAGTTTTTGTCTATTTCCCTTGCAACATTCAAACCCTTTGATTTGATTACATAACAAAGACAGGTGCTTTATCTCATTTAATCCTCAACATAACGCTCCAAAGCAGTGAGTAATTATAAGTCAAAATAGTAAGAAAACTGAGGCAGAGCATATAAAAACACAACAAAAAACCCTCCCTTCAAACTCATTGTTAGTAAGTTGTGAGTCGGTTCAGTTCACAGTGACTCTTCATCCAGTTTCCAAGGCAGTGTATCATAATGGGAGGACACTGCCCATCTTTCCCCTCGTGGAGCTGTTGGTACCAATTGCTACAGACCATGTCACCAGAACCCCAAGGCAGAAAAGAGGGAACAACAACAACAACAAAAAAAGTGTGCCTAACGATATTTCCCAGTAATAATGAAAAGCTGAAATGTAATACTATAGGCAGTGCCTATAGTTTATGAACGATCTAGATCCCTAATTAAGTTTTAATGTTTAATCTACAGGTATAAGAGCTACATACAGTTCTTATTTAAGCCAACTTTACTTAAAAAGGACGTCTGGCAGGGCAGCATGTAGCATGTTGCACTGCTAACCAAAATGCTTTTTTGGTGATTTTACTCCACTGTGGGAAATAGAGGCTCAGAATTAACATGCTGCTGCATACTTTTAATTGACGATCGTGCTGAGAATTCCCCCCCGATGTATTACCATTATTTGCAGCAACGTGTTAATAGCAATGAGTGAGTTTTAGTGTTTAAAAAAGGCTCTAACCTTTTTCAGTGATTTAAAAGTTGCATGTATAAAGCAAGTAATGAAACTGTGATGAAGAATTTGGTGCTAATACAGTTTGGTTGAGTAATTTCAAAGTGAGGGAAAACGTACGTAATCACCAAGGGCAAGTGTTGTGTGCCGCTGAGTTGGAACTGAGTCATAGCTGACCCTTTGGTGGGCTTTCAGAGACTGAACTGCAAGAGAATACTCATCTTTTTCCCATGAAGCAGCTGGTGGATTTGAATCATCTGCTTTAGTATTGGCAGTTTAACTTCTTATAACCACACCATCAGAGTGGAACTTCTTATAACTATGTCATCAGAGTTCTCTTCAAGTGCAAGTAGTTCTCCCATAACTAACTTATAATCCAACAACTTGCTGTTTTGAGTACAGACCAAAAGAAATACATAATTAAAAAAAATAGTAATATTTAGACTAAAACACCCAAAAGAAATATACCTCACAAAAAACCACAACAATCTCTAAAAACCTACAGTTTAAGAAAAAAAAAGATCTTAGCATATTTTCAATAATCATTCAACTTATTTTGAAAAGATGGACTGCTCTAGCAAAAATACTATAATAGAAGGCAGAGACTGAGTCAAATTTAATAGGAGGAAAATGGATTTATTTACATAACATCTATTGTTGTCCCAAAAAGATGGAAAATACTTAAAAAGGGAACATAGGAACTTTTTCCAAAGATATTATAAATATTCAACATCTTAGTCTCCCCAAAAGCTAGATGTTTCCAAGCTGGATTTAATATTTTGCATGTTGTCCCTTCGCTGCTTTGTAAACAGATTTGCTTCTCCTTTCTGCAATCGACGTCTGACAGCTGCTTTTTGCTGTTTTGTCAACTGACGTTTCACTTTCTGTTTTACCAGTTCCTAAAAAAGAAAATTTTTAAATTAGTATCATTGTTAATAAATCATTCCCATAAGCTATTGCTGTGTGCCAAGTCACACAATAAAAAGATTTATACTATTTCAAATTTGTTAAGATCATGAATTTTAAAGTTTCCAGTCACTAATAGTATTTTGTAATGAATAAACTGCTGAATAAAAAATCTGCTGTCAGGAACCTCTCCAGAGTACAGGAGAGCAATGATGTCAGTCTGGAGACTAAGGGGCACCTGATCCAGGCCACAGTCTTTGCAATTACTAGCTATGCGTCAGAAAGCTGGACAATGACTAAGAATAGTAGAATTGATGCCTTTGAGCTGTGGTGCTGGGTAAGAGCATTGAATATACACGGGCTACCAGAAGAACAAACAGAATTGTCTTGGGGAGGGTGAAACCAGGCTGCTCTTTAGAGGCAAGGATTCTGAAGCTTCGTCTGGGCTTTGTGCATGTTGCAAGGAGGAACCAGTCCTTGGAGAGGGACATCATGCTTGACAGGGTAGAGGGACAGCACAGGAGAGGAAGATCCTTGATGAGATGGCTTGATTCAATGACTGGGAATATGTCAGAGACAATAAAGTTGGAACAGGATCGAGCAGGGTTTAGGGCTGTTGTACTCAGGGGTTGCTATGAGCCACAAGTGACTCGAAAGCATTTAACAACAATGGTATTTTATGTGCTTTATGTGCCAGCAATAAATAAAGCTCCTTATAAAATAGAGGCTAAATTCCAAAAAGAATTATCCATTACTAGCAAAAACAGTATACAGTCACAACTCTTTAAATAACAAATCAGCACAACGCCACCTGGTGTCCATAGTGAGAATGGAAAATGAAACACCACACACTGCCCCATTTCCAAGTAAAAATAGTTTTGTAGTGGAAAATGGATTGTGTAAATAATTACGATTAGTCAAAATATATACTTTATAACTCTAGGTGTATATACAATCTAATGGCAGCAGTTATCCATGAAGAAGGCTTCACAGTTTTGGGAGATCTACAATGCTTTCTTAAAAAAATTTTACTAGTGATTATAAATTTTTTATTAGTCAGTACATCAAATAGATATGTTAAAGGACTAAAAAAGATGTATTTGGTTGTGAGATCATTTTCATTAAACTCTAATTTGCCATTTTTTCATTTCAATGACTGACTGAAACTAGTTCCAAGAATATACAAGAAATTCTGTATCTCCGCCACTTATTTTGTTATTTTTTGACAGTATCTTTTACATATATGTGCCCTGCTTTTTATTTAAAATTCATTTGCCATTAGGTATAAAGGATAAAACATGTAAAATTACAAGGAACAAACACCGTATAACTGTCAAGATACTTTCACTGGGATTTTTCTTTTCACGTATAGCTTTGAGTTACTCTAAAGCTTTAGGTTTTGTTTATTGTGGTTTTTTTCGTTTTTTGTTTTTGGTAGGGATTGTGGTTGTAAATTCTCTCAGCTCCTGCTTGTCTGGGAACTTCACCCTCATTCTTGAAGGATAGTTTCATGGGATATAGTATTCTGAATTGACATTCTTAGTGTTCTTTCCTTCAGCACTTTGCATATATAACTCTATTGCCTTGTGGCCTCTAGTATTTCTGATGACAAACCAGCACTTACTCTTACAGGGGATGTTTTACCTGTGATTATTTGCTTTTCTGTAGGAATCAGATCGATTACATCTGTGGAAAGAACCGCTGGAGAAGCTCAATATCAGCTGTGAAAACTAGGCCAGGAGCTTGATTGTGGAATAGACCACCAACTACTCATATGCAAGTTCAAGCTGAAACTGAGGAAAATTAAACCGAATCCACAGGAGCCAAAATATGACTTTGAGTCTATCCCACCTGAATTTCAGAACCATCTCAAAAACAGGTTTGAGGCCTTGAACACAAATGAG